TCAATTTATATAGGAATGGTACAACAGAAAAAATAATTTATAACAATCATTATCTAAAATACATATGAAACACATGGAAAAGATATATTGACTTATGTGTCCTAGTTGGAGCTTGAAAGGAGCAAACACTAAAAATGGAATAAAACCTTTCAAAGAGTATTCGTAAAAGACCCTTGGTTAAAATATCAACATATTGATATGTTGCTGGCTCGTGAAGAACACAAACATGTCCCACATGAGCATTTTCACAGACAAAATGAATCTCAATTTTAACATGTTTAGTTTGTTGGTACTAAACAAGGTTTTCTACCGATTAAAAATTAAGACATTGTCCCAATAGACTAGCGTTACCGTGGTCACGGGTACATGAAGCTATAGTAGTAAATTTTAAAAGTAGCAAATCTTGGCTACAACATTGGTCACGTCCTTTGCCCTTAACGCTCGAGTGTGAAATGGTATTTTTTTCGTTTCGATAACCATGACACAAATTTTCATTGAGATAGACGCAATAATCGAAAGTGGATTGGGGCAAGTAGGAACCCCCCCCCCCCCCCCCAATTTGCATCACAAAAGTAGGGCAGTGAGATGCACCGATGCGACTGTGGTAGACGGTATCGTCAGAAGGAGGGGACTAGCACCACCATATGGGGAGCCCATGGATTTCCTATTAAAGACTATGGGGGAGCCCATGGCACTTAGGTGTATGACCATGTGGGGAGCCTATGGCATCCTGGACTAAGACCCTTGGAGGAGCCCACGACATCCCTATATGTTGTAGGCATGACTTATATGGTTTATGTAGCTTTTATAGCTAATATGGTATATGTGATTATGTGGACTGTGTGGGGTATACTCTGGGGAACTCACTAAGCATTAACTTATAATTTGTTGATTTATATCAGATGCATCTGAGCCTAAGGGCAAGGGCAATGCTTGATGGCATGGCACACACTCTTCGGTATTTGATTTGATGGGACACTCTGATATTTGAAATAAAATGTTGATGTTATGGATTTTGAAAACATTTGTCATTGTCATGTTGTATTTTATGTGAATGTTTTGGTTAATAAAAAGTGAAAATTTGGGTCGTTACATCACGACATGAGAAGATGTACGTCATATCATGATGATGGTCAGACTTGATTTTTTATACTTTCAATTATGATGTAGTGATCTTTTAGATTGGTATTCTGGTATATAGGATGTTGTTATGTTGTAGTGATTTGCACGATCGATATCCTGCTACGTAGGATGTTGCTATGCTATAGTTCAATGTTGGATCTGTATGTTATTTTTACTTGCTGGTTCTAATCTAGTGGAGTGTTCTAGGGGCTGTCTGTGGTCATGTAGGATACTATGGGAACTCTTTATCTTGGATTTCTTGTATGTTCCTTGTTTAGTTATGGCTCTAGAGTAGGATCATTTGTTCGGGTGGCTATCTCACCTCTGGCGACTTATGGTTACATATTTCATGGAGGACTAGTAGGCGGGAGTGAGCTGAGTGATTACTGTTTCTCTGTATTATGTGCCTAATTTTGTTTATATGTCGACATATGGTAGTGGTAGGCTGATATAATCTTGCTTTGTGTTGTAGGCCAAGAAACCCGGTGCAAGCCGGCTGTAAGCCGAAGGGGTGGAGGCTCCGGTTGAGCATTTGGAATGTGGCGATAGGCCATCAAACCTTGGGTATTCTAGCTCGGTGGTTGAGTGGAACCGATGCATGCTTGTATGTTTATTGTATGAGGTATTTTAGGGGAAACTCACTAACTTCGTGTTTATCTAGTTGTTTATTGTTTTAGGTATCATCAGTTATCTCGAGAAGGTGAATGCGTGACTGTAGACATTCGTCAAAAACAATAAAGGCTTTGCATTTTAAATATTACTCTGAAATTATAATAAATGTATTTGGAAAGAACATTATATATTGGTTTTATAACTAGGAGGATTTATTTAAATAAAAATGTTTTTTTAAGTTGTAAAAATGGGACGTTACAATCATACTCGTTTAAATGCTTTAACTGATTATGTTAGATACCAATTACATCAAGAATCAACATTCTATGGTCATAAAGAAAAGGAAGAATCACATAATAATGGTATTCTCTTGAACTTTTACAATAGTTAGCCGATTTATGTGATGTAGATCATGTTACTGTTTTGTTAAAGAATGCTCCAAAAAATACACATTTGAAATGCAATGATATCTAGAAAGATATTGTGTAGGCATGTTAAGATGCAGTTATGAATGTTATTATGGAAAATCTTGGAAAATACTATTTATGGAATTTTAGTAATGAGTCAAACGATATTTCTTGTAAAGAACAATTAGCATTAGTGTTGTGGTTTGAAAATAAAGAAAGGAAAATTATAGATATGTTTGTAGGCCTTGGAAATGTTACTGTCATTTTAGCTTTAACACTAAAGGCTGCATGTATGATATGCTCGCAAAATGAAATTTGAGCCACACTCATATCAGAGGGCAGAGTTATGATGGTGTTAGTAACATGAGTGGTGCATTCAATATATTAAAGACGTTGATTATGAATGAAATAAGATATGCACACTTTGTTCATTGTTTTGCACACCAGTTATAGTTAGCCATAGTGTTTGTTGCAAAAAGACAACATGAAGGTTCATAATTACTTTTAAGTGGTTTCTCGGTTGTTCAAACATTATTGGATCTTCCTACCAGCGATGAAATAATTTAACAAAAAAACATTCAAATAAAGTATGGTAGCATTGGCTAAAGGTTGTCTTTGTAATTGTACTACATTCATTATTAAAATATTGTTTAGTTACGTTATGCTAGTTAAATTTTTGTATGCTTTTAGGTAGGCTTGTGAGTGGTACCTGTTTGGCATCAAATAACCATCATCTGATACTCTCGATGAGGTTCTCATCTTTCATCTCTACTGAATATCAAGAACATATAATCTTAAAATTTAAAGTACTTGAAGAGCTTTGTAAACATAATAGTGATGGTGATCGTAAAGCTAAAGAAATTCACATCTAAAAGTCATTAAAGTCATTTGATTTTGTGCTTAAAGAACTCTAAGAAAGCAATTCAAGAAATTAGGGATGTAGGACGGGAACTAATTTTAGGGAATGTTACTTTGTTTTGTGATAAATGTGATGTTCAAATCGTCGATACGAAAGATGAATATTATAATGAAATCAGTTGTCAAAGAGGTTCACAGGTTAGTACCATGTGATATTACCAACTTGATATTTTTATTTCATTTTGTCATCAATATATTAAAGATTCTTTTTTATTTTCACGTTAACAACTAGCATCACTATGACGTTGATGTATTTAAGGCGATGATTGATATGCAACTTCAAGAGCTTAATTGTAATGACCCAAAATCCTCCATCAATGAACTTAGTTTCCATTACATGGATATTTGCTTTTGTAAAGTTATTTGGATTCTAAGATATAAAAGGAAACAAATTAAACAAAAGGGTGCTAATTGATATTTAAAGGAAGAGAAATTAGATTACTTCCTACCTTTTATGCTTACAATTATTTATACCTATTAAAATCATGACAAATTACAATTCAATTTAATTTTATTTGATATATTTCTAATTTAACATTAATGACTGAGTTTAAAAAATATGGAATGATGACAATTGTCATAATAATTGGATAGAAACATTTATATGCATAAAAAAAAATATGAAGCAATTTAATTTCTTTTAAAAGAATTAGTTGATAATTAAGAGCTATATAATTAAATTATTTAGTTTTCGAGAATAGTTATGACAAATAAAATCCATTAACGGTAATAATAATAATAATAATAATAATAATAATAATAAAAAAGTCCATGGCTTGATCTCCATTCTTGAAAGAATTAGACAAGTGGTACTTTGTATTTAGGGCTTAAATTGTCAATTTGGCAAGTTTGAGAGACCAAACTAGAAAACCTGTGATTCCATGCATTTGATAGATTTGGTCGATTCCTCCATCTTTATCATGATGTCATCGGTTATGTCCTATGCATTCTAAACCTATTTAAAATTGTCATTGGTCTTTGTTTTTTGGCGTTGCTATTTCGATATATATATATATATATATATATATATATATATATATATATATATATATATATATATATATATATATATATATATATATATATATATATATATATATATATATTGCATTCAAAACCTATTTAAAATTGTCATTGGTCTTTGTTTTTTGGCGTTGCTATATATATATATATATATATATATATATATATATATATATATATATATATATATATATATATATATATATATATATATATATATATATATGTATACTCAAGGTAGGACCTAGGACCTACTTTTATTTTTTTTTAATACAATAATTCTATATAAAAAAACATAAAAAACTACTTATTTTTGCCAAAAAACATATATTTTCATATATTTTTCCATTTCATTTATATAAGGAACCATATTGATTTTGGTTCTAGATTCGCCAATATATATATATATATATATATATATATATATATATATATATATATACACACACACACACACACTCAGAGAGAGAGAGAGAGAGAGAGGTTTTTATAGACATCTAGCAATATTGCTACCGAACAATAATTTTGTATCAAAACATTTTGCTATAAGAAATATAGCTACATAATTTCATTAGTAAATTCCATAACAACTTCCATAGTTAGTTAGGTTTTGCTACAAAATTTCAACTTTTTGCCACGAATATTTTTTTGTGGCTAAATCAAAATTTTATTGTAGTAAAATTAAGATATTTATCATTTATTTTTATCCATTGTATTTATATATTTTCTCAGATTCATTTAAATCTTTGTTTTGCCAAAAATATACTATATGGACATGTCAAAACCAATATACCACGGGACTATTTATGTAGTTTTCTTTTTATTTTATGTCATTATTAACCTTTTTATGCAGACTCTAACTTAGTTTGTTTGGTTTTGAGGGACTAAAATCAAAGGGACGTTTTGATCTAAAAGAAAATGTGGAATGCTATAAAGTATACAGAATATTGGCGACAAATGGAACTCATGAAGCTCTTTAGAGAAGGTTTGTAGAAGAGGAAGGGGCAAAGTGAAAGTTCTGCCTTTAGATAACATGCGACAGTATAGGATTTCTTTTTACTCTAGAGCCAGTCGTTTATACTCTCTCGGTCTCCTCTTCCCTTTCAAAACTCTCGAGTTCTATGTGAGTATATGTTGATTTAGATTTTATTCTGTAATCGTTACTTCCTTTTGTGATTGATGAGGGTCACTAAAGAAAAGACCTATGTTTTTTAAACGTTACTTCATTCTGTATTCTTTCGAAAATTTTCCATTGACTTCGTTTTCCAATTTCCATCCTTGCAGATTCAATTCTATTGGTATTATGGCTTCTTATGGTTCTAATAATGTTTTTCTAAGCTTCAGCGGCGAAGATACTCGTCATTCTTTTACTGATCATCTTTATTACGCACTAAGGAGAGCAGGAATTAGTACTTTTAGGGATGAAGAAGAAATCAAAAGAGGCGAAAAACTGATGCCGGAGATCAAGAGAATAATCAAAGAATCTAGGGCTTCGGTAGTTGTATTCTCAGAGAACTATGCAACTTCAACATGGTGTCTAGACGAGCTTGTCCTGATCCTAGAACAAAGAACGGAGTGCAATCACTTTGTTCTACCTGTTTTTTATCACGTCGATCCTTCGGATCTGAGGAAGCATACTAAAACATTCGCTATCGAAGTCAAAGCTTCTTCAAGGTGGACAGATCACAACGTGAACCTGTGGAAGAAAGCTCTCAAAGAGGCTGCTGATTTGGCCGGCATGGTTTTGTCTGGGTATGCCTTTTTGTCCCTTCCTAATTCTAGATTTATTATATTTTAGCCGTCTAATACTTGGTGTATTATTTGCTAATATACGTATCAATACTCTAACCTATGAATTGGTAAGAGATAGTAGTTGGAAAAGTAGGTGAATTAGTAATTAGTGTGATAAAAAAAAAAAAATGAAAATGATGTATCATATATAGGTTTAAGACAATCTTATCTAGATCTCATATCGTGTTCTTCTTTATTTATTTATTTCTTGTAAAAATTCCCCCAAAGTCCAGAACTATGATCCATGCTAATTTCTGATTTAGGTAGTTAAGATAAGACCATCTCCAACACTTCATTTTTTATACTTTAAAATAGAGTAAAATAAAGGGAGTAAATAATACTAGTATTTCATTTCTAATCTTATTCCATTTTTAATTGCAAAAAACATATTTGTAGTATATTTTCTTTTTTTAAAATTATAAAGATTGTCACAAAAGACCTTCAACTTATTAATTTTTCAAACACTTATTAAATTTTATATGAAGATGATAAATAAATGTTAGCTTTATATGTATGATTGATTAATGTCTTTTAAATTAAAGTTACCTAATTAAAACAAAGTAGAAATTGATGAACCTAAAATATGAGGTACTAGAACTGACAAGTGAAAACTCAACTCCATTTTAAAAAAATAAATAATATAACTCCATATTTGGAGTACTACTATTTCTTTACTCCAAAATCAAAATGTTTCAAAATGGAGTGGGATTGAAGATGGTTTAACTCCAAAATAGAGGAAAAAGTGGAGTTTGGAGTAGGGTTGAAGATACTCTAAGGGAACAATTGTATTATCCCTTCAAATAGAACAATGGGCCTCCAATATTTTTTTTATATTGATTAAATTGGTATTTAGTAATGTATTTTCTATTAAATTAATAAATAAATTCTATAGCATTACAAATACTGTGACGCTTTATTAATTGAAATTTTTATCATTTTTGGGAAATTAACCTAAGTGGAAGTCAAATTTAGCTATACTAAAGTATCTCTAAATACCACTCCATTAATTTGACCCTTTTTTTTCCATGTTATTCCAGGTCTGAAGCAGAGTTTCTGAAGGAGATTGTTGACGTCATTTACAATAAACTGGATCGCAGAGAAGTTATTCTCCCACCCAATATAACAGGGATGGCCACTCGATATGCCAAGATTAGTATGTGGTTAAATCAACCCAATGTTGAATTTTTAGCAATTTGTGGCATGGGTGGAAGTGGCAAGACAACACTGGCCAAATATATTTACGATTCAAATTGGAAAACATATGAAAACATGAGTTTTGTTGAAGGCATTGGAAAAGCCAATTGAATTTGCTGGAAAAAGAAATGGATTCTAGAATTCAAAATGTACTTATCATGAGCTATAAGTCATTGTCGTTTGACTTAGAAAAAGAGTTATTTTTGCATATTGCTTGTTTTTTTGTTGGCGTAGACATGGATTATGTTGTAAAGATATTGGAGCACGATTACAATGCATTATCGGGGATCAAAAGTCTATCCAACAGATGCCTTCTTTCTGTTTCACCAAACAAGAAACTGATGATGCATCGATTGGTTCAAGAGATGGGGAAAAACATAGTTCGTCAAGAATCAAGATTCCCTATAGAACGTAGTAGAGTCTGGCTTAGTGGAGAATCTCATAAAATATTGACTAAGGGAGAGGTAAGATGCTTCTTATATGTATATAAGTTAATCCTACTTTTCTTTTCTTCACGCTCTTCTCATTTCAATTTTACAACTTATTCATTTTTTCCTTTTAGGGTTCAAAATCAATGGAAGGTTTAGCACTTGACATGCAAATGCTAGATAAACAGATGTTTACTTTCAAGGTAATACAGAATCACTAGGAGCTGAAGTACGTGCGTGCATACATTTTGTATATTTAAACACACACACACAGATATTTAATCTACATCTGATAGTATGTTTACTATACATCTGTCTTCATGATGAATCTGCAGCCATCAAACCTCAAGACAGATGCACTTCAAAAGATGGATAGACTAAAATTGCTCAAACTAAACTTTGTGAAGCTCACCGGGACCTATGGGAACTTTTCAGAAGACTTAAGATGGCTCTGCTGGCTTGGATCCGATTTAAGAACCATACCCTCTGACTTATTCATGGGAAATTTGGTGGCTATAGATATGAGCTATAGCAAATTGGAAGTATTTGAAGCACCCATGGTAGGGAACTCAGCATCCTTTTTTAGTGCATTATCGGTTTAGCTTCTCAGTCCTTAATTGTCTTTCTTTATGCAGAGATTGATTGCTACATTAATCTTATTACTTTTGCAACAGGTTCTTCAGTCACTGCAGATTCTGAATCTTACACACTCGCATGATCTATCTGAAATCCGCAACATGTCCATGATCCCTCATCTACAGACTTTGATTCTTTGGAATTGTCGCAGTCTGACTCGTGTATGCAAAACCATTGGAGACTTGAAGAATCTTACTCTACTGAATATGACAGGATGCAAAAATCTTTGCAAGAGTGTGAAAACAGATCTAGATCTAAAAGCTTCTACCTCTGGTGGAAAAATTACAAAACAACCTACTTTTTCCTTCCCAAGTTCATTACACCGCTTATTCCTTAATGACTGCAATCTTTACTGTACTGATTCTTTTCCTCTGAGTTTCAGTGCTCAACAATGTATGGAGTACTTGAATTTAGGCTATAGTCTATTTGAGTTTCTGCCTTGTTATGACCATCTTAAAAATCTTCGGGTCCTAGATTTGACTTCATGTTCAATGCTTAAAAGGCTTCCATGTCTCCCAAGCACACATGCAGAATTGTATATATACTATTGTAAATCACTGGAGGAAATAAATTTCCAATCACATCGATTCACATTGCAAGAATTTGGCTATGAAGGCTGTATTAGTTTATTAGAAATTGAAGGCTTTATCAAATTGGTGCCTATAACCAAACTTGAAGGAAATGATTTGGGACATATGAAGTGGCTAAAAGAATATGAAAATCATGAGGTGTGCTTGGTTGGTGATGACGAGCTCACCAAAGGAAGAAGTTCGTGTGTCCAGGTACGTTGATTCTCTCTCAAATACTTACATGAGATTGAGCACACCAAAGATACCACGTATAAACTGATTATATGTGACTAAAATATTGTTCTCTTGCATGGGATAGATGTTGTATGAATTCAATATAATGAGCACATCTCTGCCAGACATGGAGGATCCAAACATGAAGTCTACATATGTATCGGAGTCATCATCTTTATCCTTTGACATGCCTCCTCCTCCCAAGAATAAAAGGCTCAAAGGAGTTGATGTAACTTTCAAATATACAATTTCAAGTGATGATGATTGGGTATGGTTCTGTAAAATCAATACAACCAATGGTGTTGATTTGATGTACAACCCCAAAGTCTTTGGCAAACCTGAATTGGGTGAAGTTGGTATATGGTTAAGCTATTGGCCAATTGGAAACACGTTGGACATTGGAGATAAAGTCAATGTTTCTATCGCTGTGATAAATGGATTGGAGGTTCATGAATGTGGTGTGAGCCTTGTTTATACTGATGATAAAGTAGCCGAGGAAAACTTGGAAAATAACATTGAATGGATAGAAGTTCTTGGAGGAGATTTGTCTGGATTTCAATTAAGCACACGAGCATACTATCTTTGTCGCCGTGATTTGTTTGAGTTAATGGAAGTTGGTAGACTGAATGCTGGTTGGTTTAGTATTTTAGTTGGTGATACCATTGAATGGACAGGCATGTCCCTCTTGTCAAGCTAATTATGGGCATTTGTAGTGAGATTTATGCTGCAAATAAAGAAAGTTTATCTTTTGACACAATGTTACAAGGTTCGAGGATGGAGAAAGACAGGTCGACCTATGCAGTTGAATCCATCATTTACTGAGTTAAAGTTTGTTAGATGCATCATGCATGGTCCTGAATAGGTAAATTTCCTCTATACTATTTTGTAATGTTTTTTTTTTATTTGGCAAAAACTCCTTACATGAATAATATGAATGAGACTACTCTTGCATCCTACCTTTGTGAGTTGTTTTATCATAATAGTTGATTTTTATAATCCTCTACTGTTACAATAATATACCTATAATTCAAACACAATTGATATACATCTCAAATCCCCATTCCCATTGCTTCAATGATATCATAAAATTTAATACCAATGTTTTTTCCTATTCTTCACCAAATATCACATAAGTTCACATAAGTGAAAACATTAACCTAACCATTATAATCCGAATTAACCTTTTGGTACTCGATGCTAATTTGGTTATATGTAGTGTAATTATTGGGTTTTGCTAATTTCCCTCTGTTATTTTTAAAAAACAAATGGGAGGAAATTTACAAGATTGTAGAGATGTCAAAATCATCAATCGTAGAAAAAATTTGGAGTTCACATCAAGCCTGCTTGGTGAGACCATGAAATCATCCACGTCGTCTAAATTTAGACAAACAACAACAAAGGTAACCGAGTATTACAATGTAGCATTTAAAAGAAAAGAGTTATACTTTTCCTTGTGTTGGAAATTAACTCACTCCAAGGGACGTTTCTAACATATTTTAGGCCTAGGGTGAGAGAAAAAAAAACAAAAAGCCCTTGGAAGATTAAACTTAACAAAAATCCACTAATTTTTTATATATACTTCTACATTTTATGATACAAAATTATTAATAATATATCATGATCAACACTAAAAAAAAATAAGACAAAACAACAATAGACTCAAGTAATTTTGTACCAAATGTCAACTAGAGTAAGTTCACAATTCCAAACAAGAAATGTCTTTTACATCATTTTTGATGTTTCCCTTTCACTAAATGTCTTCATCATATTTTGTTGATTGATATTCATAGTCATAGTTCTTACAAAGAATGCATTCACATGCTACCTTTCAACCTCTGCTACGAGCATACTAACCATATAACTAAAAGTGTTTATGGAATAATCCTTGAATATTACTCAACAGGAAATCCATTTATATAGGAATGGTACAATAGTAAAAATAATTTATAACAATCATTATCTAAAATACATATCAAACACATGGAAAAGATATATTGACTTATAGTCTGTCCTAGTTGGAGCGTGAAAGGAGCAAACACTAAAAATGGAATAAAACCTTTCAAAGAGTATTCGTAAAAGACCCTTGGTTAAAATATCAACATATTGATATGTTGTTGGAGCGTGAAATGAGCAAACACTAAAAATGGAAAAAAACCTTTCAAAGAATATTCGTAAAAGACCCTTGGTTAAAATATCAACATATTGATATGTTGTTGGCTCGTAAAGAACACAAATATGTCCCACATGATCATTTTCACAGACAAAATGAATATCAATTTTAACATGTTTAGTTTGTTGGTACTAAACAAGGTTTTCTATCGATTAAAAATTAAGACATTGTCCCAATAGACTAGCGTTACCGTGGTCACGCGTACATGAAGCTATAGTAGTAGATTTTATAAGTACCAAGTCTCGGCTACAACAGTGGTCATGTCCTTTGCCCTTAATGCTCGAGTGTGAAATGGTATTTTTTTCGTTTCGATAACCATGACACAGATTTTCATTGAGATAGACGCAATAATCGAAAGTGGATTGGGGCAAGTAGGACCCCCCCCCCCCCAATCTGCATCACAAAAGTAGGGTAATGACATGCACCGATGCGACTGTGGTAGACGGTATCGTCAGAAGGAGGGGACTGGCACCATGGATGAAGTGTCGAAGAGTGTGGAGTAAGCATTACACAAGGTCCTGTTTTGTGCGGCGAAGAATGTCACGTGTGTATTCGACCTATGACAGGAAGAGGCTATTTTTCTCATGAGTAACTGAGATGCCCAAAAAATGATGCATAGTGCCAAGATCAATTATTGTAAACTTTTGTGAGAGTGTACCTATAACCTATTTTAGAAAAGCAGAGTCGGAGGTGGTGAGGATAATGTCATCGAGATTGAGGAGTAAATATGTTGTGTGTTGTTTGTGACGATGAAGAAGAGCGCTGTGTCGCAAACACTGTTGCAGAACTCTTTTGTGGTGATATAGATGGTGAATCGGTGGTACCATGCTTGGAGGCTAACTTTAGGCTATATAGGGACTTTCATGGATGAAAAACATGATAAGGAGCATTACAATCAACAAACCCAATGTATTGGCCATAATCAAGAGATAACTAAGCTTAGGATGGACCAAATGGCCATTGGTTTGATGAAATGGATAAAGGTGTCAGCAAAATTAAATGACTAGTCGCACTGTATAGCGTTGGAGGCTTCCTTCACCATGGAACTTGTGGTAGGAAAGCCACTTACACTGAATAAAAGGGTGGTCCTTGGGTCGGGGAATAAGCTCCTACATGTCATTTTCTTTTAAAGCACTATATTCGTTTTTCATTGCAAGAGGCCAATTAGAGTCCGATAATGCATTGGTGTAGTTTTAGGGATAAGGAAATAGATGGAGTGGTTGAATTGTGGAGATTATAGGTCCATTATTTAATCCATTGTGCAAGAGACCAATTGGTTATGTCGGTGCATGCACGGGTAGTCATGGGGTGACATAGGTGCGAATAGGATCCATAGGAGGTGGGCTAGTGTTAGCAGATACCTATTTGATTATGTATTATTCTTGTTGTATTATAGGTCAATTACTTAGCCCATTGTATTGTGTATTTGGCCTAAAAGGTTTTGTATTGTATTTATGTTAGGATTAAAATCCTTAAGGATCATTCAGATTCAGAACAAGTAAAAGAAATAGCATAATGATGAATCAAGAATGTCGAATGATTAAGTGTCACACCTCAGAAGAACTTGAAGAAGAATTTCAACTGTAGATGCGTGATTAGGGTTACAGCGTGATTATCAGAGTTAACTAAAATAAGATGCATGCATGCACCATAAATACTCTAACCCTATAATTAAATACGGGAGGACAGGCCCAACCCGTTTACATATGATTTGGTTATTCTCATCAAATTCGGCTTCTTTATCAGCCCTTTCTTTTTCTTCATCCTCACAGATGATTCGGTTATTCTCATCAAATTCGGCTACATGGGCCTTTCGTCTTTTGAGCTCATCTTCATCTAGCTCTTCATCATCTTCACTATTGTTAACGACGGGCTCATTTCCAAATAGTTTTTACTTGTCCTTAGGTTCTTGATTGACAACTGGTTTGGTTGGAGCTTTAGGGCCTTCTTTTCTTGTCATATCAATTCACCCGCCTTCTCCCCTTGATTTGGATCAAAGATCTGATTTGAAACACCCTGCAGTTAGTGAAGCATTGTGAAGATCAGCCTCAACTTCTCATGTAGATGCTTCCGGACAGAGATGGTGATCATGGAGTCTCTTGTTTCAATGACATCTGAGAGTAAGCCTATAATATCATATATACAACTTTTCATTATATCCCGCTCAGTGAGCAAATCTTGAACTTGTTTCTCAGCATTTTTGAGCTTAACTGAGAGAACCTTCACTCTTTTAGTTTTGATGGAAAGAGAGTCCATAATTTTACTCTCTATTTCTAGTTCTTTTTGATGGTTGGAAATATGAGAAGAGATGGAGGTTTGAAAGGCTTCGTGATCAGACTGGAGACTGGTGCGAATTGCATGTAACTTAGCCTTCTCGTTTTTTAAGAGAGAACCCAGACTCTACAAAGATTAATTGGCATTCTTTGTATTGTTGTTGAATGTAGTCTGGAAGTTCTCCATGAATGAAATGGTCTCAGTAATTAGTTTATTGACTTTTTCGGTCATCAGCTTGCAAACTTCAGCAGAATCATCAACAACCATATTCGTCTTTTCTGCATTGGCCCCATGCTCTTTCGTTATGCGTTCAAATAGAGAATCAATTGCTGCTTTAGAATAAGCATCAGAAGATGATGCCTTTGAAGCAAGAAGCAATTGATGTATCTTTTCATGTAGGGACTTCAATTGCTCATTCGTAGCAGATGGCTCGTGCTTACTTTCAGTCCTAATTTGGAAGGGACTGTAGGTGAATCCTCCGAGAGCTTCATCATTATCATCGTCATCCCCGAAGACCATATCTGGATCATCTAGGAGAATAGGGGAAATTGGAGGTTTGACATGGGTTGATAAACCTGATGTTTTAGCCCCCGTATCAGATACGTTGACCGAAAAAGGAGGTTCGGAGGAGGTGGTTGGTGGGACACGAAGGACTAGAAAGAAGGATACTTGTTTGGAGTTGTGAAGAAACTGGTGGAGGGCAAGGAGCAATAGTGATTGGGGTTGTAGTGGTTTTAGGTGAAGGAGGAGGAGAAGGAACAAAATCGTTAAGATGTTGAGTTATCTCAGGATTGGATGTCTATTCTTCGTTGCTAATGTTATCATCCTCGTTGCGAACATCCTTGTTGTGAACATCCTCGTTGTGAACGGGATGATCCTCCTCTATGCAAATATCTGACAGAGTATCATACTCATATTCGCTTACACTCGGTGTGGGGGTCTTTCGCTTGCGAGCGGGTTGCTTTCTCCTTTTAGGAGCAACAGTAGAAGTTCACGTAGGTTCCTTTCTTTTGGAAGGATGTTTTGAAATGATGGATTTACCTTCCTTTCCAGCAGTTTTCTTTTCCTCTTTCTTCGCAACCTTTCCCCCTTTCTTAGGTTTGTCAGCCTCATCAACTATTGCTTGCATTTCTGGAGTAAGAGGATGAAACCCAAATGGAGTAAGCTTGTGATAACCCTCCAGAATGTTGCTAGAGGCAGGTACGTCACGAAACATAGCATCTGGAATGGAACCGATGAACGAAAATTTGGAGTTATCAGCTACAATGATGCATGTTGTATGGATTGTTGACACAGTGAAAGCCAGAGCATCCTGCATCACTGGAATGTTGAGTTTGACGATGACCCTTTGAACAATAAGAGACCAGAACCGTGCACATGAAATTTCGTTGTGATGAGTCGTTGAGTGTGTGCTTTGAATCACCTAAGCCCAGAGTACTGCTCCAAAATCGATATTCAACCTTGTATAAATGTCATAGAGTATAGTCAAGAACAACTTACTGGCATAGTTAGAACCTTAACGCTTTCTGAGAACCTATTGAAAAGTAGAGTAAAGAAAGTGTTCCATTGTGGGGGTAGATTAGGTTTCTCGAATTTTGAGACAGCATATAGGGTCTCCTTGTACCCCATTTGATAGAACATGTCCAATAGAGTAGAATTGGAGATGGATTCCGGGTTGACCATCTCTTCAGATTGAGGAAGCCCTACAAGTGAGCAAAATCTGGTTTTTTTTATTGAGGTTTAATGATCATGAATGTCAAAGATGATTTTGTTTTCCTCTTTATATAACTTGTAGAAGAGTACGCCTTGGACAGTAGGGACATCGGAACATCCTCCATCTTTGTTAGAGCATGAACCAATGGAGAATACTTGAGGCACTTGATAATCGGCAGGAGATAGGGCTCATATTTGCAGGGTTCCAGATCGATGATCATGTTCTGGTTGGGTTTTATGGGCATAAGAGTAGAGTGAGCAGTTTGATCATCAACAGATGATGATACAGCCATTGTTGAAGCTTGAGAAAGAAGATGAACAGTTGAATCTTTGATCTCTGGAAATCTTTTGAGAGGATTTTGAAAGTGGTAACGAGAGAGGAACCGTCAAAACCTTTATATACCATTCGATTTGTGAGGAAAATCCAGAGAGAGAATGCATCAGTTACTGAAACGTCGCCTGAAAAGGCGCGACTTGTCAACTTTAGATGTCAGACACGTGCGTCATACGACGGTAAAGTAGCTGTCGATTCAAATCTTCACGCGCCCATTTGAATTCTTATCATCAGAAATTGTCGCGTCATCATCAACCTTTCGCAGTTAAACATTCTTTGACCCTTCCATTATGAACATTCGTTTTTAGAAAACCTGGGTTAAACCGCGAATCTGAAAGTAACATTAAGAACCACGAACAATACTTTTGCAAAATCTCAAGGACCTTCGTGCAAGAGTGTCAAAGATAAAGAAATAAATCAAGCTATATATGAGGAAGTTCGTAATGTCTATATAAAGACACAAAACTATTAATCCCGAACATAGATGTCTTCCTTCGAAGTCAAGAGAGACTAAGAAGTGTCTGTGTGGTTTCCCGTTGAAATACGATCAAATGTTTGATAAGAAACATTGAAAGGCATCTCTTAATTTAGTTAAATGGGTGACTAAATCTCCAACCAAACAATGAACTTAATATAAGTACGAATGTCGGATGAAGTACTTGTGTGACCAGTGTAGTCAGTTGAACGAGTATGCTTGGAATTATATTAGTGACTAAATGTAACTTTGAAATCTAAAAAAACTGGATCTTATGGGAAGAAGTGACTTGGTATAGAAACACTTCATAAAGATCTCGTAACAGAAAAGAGATTCCTTGGTACAGACCACAAAAGTGGCTTTCGTTAATTCCATGGTGAAAATCTAGAACAATTAATTGTTCACCGTCAATTCATGTAAATGTGTTGGATTTTAGGTTTCACTCAGTTCGTGGTGAACGAATCTAAGATCATTAACACAGAAGTTGTATAACCATAAACCTCAGCGGTATTGTTGAGAGTCTCAAGGGTTACATTTATGAGTGAGAAGGAAAAATGGAGAGTGAGAAGGTGGTTCCAGAGAAGCGAATGTACCTCTTCTATACAAGAGTGACTAAGCACATAACTCTTAACTCAAGGTGAGAAGAGTGAGGCAGCTCATGACTAATGCGAATTTAACATCCTGTTTGGGAAGAAACGAATGGTAGATTCGATTCATTAAGGCTTCACATAGTGACTATTGAAGCTTTGGATAGCATGCATCACCATGCTTCTAGGGACACCTAGCTAATACAGAGATAGAGACACCTAGCTCAATGATCTTCTTAAGATATTTTTGATATTTGTGAAAATAAAAAAAATAATAACAAACACAAATAAAAGATTTTTGTTTTTTTTTTATTATTTTCTGAAAAATAGTTAAAACAGAAAAGATATAAAAACTAAGTAATAACATACATAATGTACAAAAGCATATTTGAAATTTTTGAACCACGAATGAACAGTAGACTGAGAACTACTACGAACGCTCGCACCGATTCACAGTCTTAAAGTAGACTGCGAATGAACAATGGACTATGAACTACTGCGAACGTTCATACCGATTCACAATGCAATCATTATGTGTGCGAAAGTGGGTTTGGAATAGATTCAACTTTCATCATTCCTAAGCCTTGAAGGATCCTGTTGAAGGTTGTTTCAGGCAAGGCCTTTGTGAATATGTTAGCCAACTGAGTAAAGGATCTTACAAAATAAATTTCAACATCGTCGTCTTCTACATGATCATTGATGAAATGATACCTCAGTGTTATGTGTTTTGCCTTTGAGTGTTGCACTAGGTTGTGACAAATGCGAATGGCACTTTCAGAGTCACAATTTAGTGGGATTTGTTTCATGCTTAAGCCATAGTCACAAAGCTGACTTTGAATCCAAATGACTTGAGATGTACATGAGGCAACAACAATATATTCAACTTCATCTGTTGACAAGGGCACACATGTTTGTTTCTTAGATTGCCAACTAACAAGTTTTCCATCGACAAATTGACATCCTCCAGTTGTGCTTTTTCTATCTAATCCACATCCCGCAAGGTCAACATCTGAAAATGATTGTACGAAGAAGCCTAATTTCATAGGATACTAAATTCCAAGTGATGAGGTTTGTTTCAAGTACCTGAAGATGTTCTTAACGGCCACCATGTGCTGTTTGCGAGGATTTTCTTGGAACCTAGCACAATAACAAACAAAAAACATAATGTTTGGTCTACTAGCTATTAGATACATTAATGAACCTACCATCTTATGATAAAGGGTCATATTAGCAGCTGGTTTTTCCATATATGGTGTTAGTTTTGTTACGAATGCCATTACAACCTTCACTTTAGAGGCTCCCACCATGCCAAACATAGAGAACAAAGTCTTTGTATGTGCTTCTTGATTTATGGAAATGCCTTCCGGTCCCTTTCTTATATTCAATCCAAGGAAAAAGTTAATTGGACCCATGGAGCTCATCTCAAATTTAGTTTCCATCAACTTTCGGAAATTAGTTGTTAAGCTAGGATTCGTAGAACTAAAAATGATGTCATCAACATAAATTTGGATGATTATCAAGTGCTCACCCTCTTTCTTGCGAAAGAAGGTTGGGTCAACCAAACCTTGTTTAAATTTAGACATTTTAAGGAAATGAGTAAGAGTTTCATACCAGGCTCTTAGAGGATTGTTTCAGACCGTAAACTGCCTTGTCTAAGATGTAGTAGTGATTAGGGTACTTCTCGTTTATGAACCCAGGTGGTTGTTCCACATATACAGTCTATTCTAATTCCCCGTTTAAGAATGTGCATTTAACATCCATCTGAAACACCTCGAATTTCTTGTGTGCTGCATATGCCAGGAAAATGCGAACGGATTCCAACCTTGCAACAGATGTGAATGTTTCTTCGTAGTCAATGCCTTCTTCCTGATAATACCCCTTAACCACGAGTATCGCCTAGTTTCTTATATCATTCCCTTCCTTATCCATTTTGTTGCAAAACACCCATTTTAAACCTATAACCAATGCATATGGTGGAGTTGGCATTAGCCTCCAAACTTTGTTTTGTTCAAACTCATTGAGTTCGTCTTGTATTGCTTGGACTCAATCAGAATGATCGAGACCAATATTAACTGTTTTGGGTTCAACCTTGGAAACGAATGAGTTAAACATACAAAATTCCACTTTAGAGAATAATGCAGTTTGTTTCGCTTTTATCTGAGATCTAGTAAGAACACTAGCAGAAGATTCACCAATAATTTGGGTTTTCGGGTGATCTCTGATCCATTTGGTTAGTGGAGGATAGTTTGGATCATAGGAGGGATCGGATTTAGCATTTACTTCTTCAAATTCTGATTGCACATCCAAATCATCATTCACATCTTTATTCTCCTCCTCGAATGATGAGATATAATCTTCTTCACGAGTTGAAGTATCCCTTATGAATGGAGGTTTGTGAGTCATTGTGGGA